GCTGAAACCAAGGTGCTAAGATGCAGTGGTTGATAATGGAATAACCTAAAAGAACACATTGCTGCTTTACCCTGCAGAGATACGCTTCTCTGTCACTGCAGAGAATGTCGGAGGCAGGAGGAAATCAGAATGTGATGAGAGCCAGATTGGGAAATGGCACCCAGCATCTCTGAGACCACCCAGCATCAAGATACTGGTGGAGAATGAATTTGTGATGTCCAGAAGCAACATTGCTAAGCCAAGGAAAAATCACCATTCGTGGCAAAAAGCATCATCTCCCACCTTCAGACAACAGCTTAAGAGGCGTTCGGTGTTTCAGAGGGTGAAGGTGAGACCAGGCAGTAAAGTCCTGGGCGTCCAGGCAAGGACTCCTGCAGCAGAATTCCCTGCAGACCCCCAGCACTTTGCCATGTTTCCAGGGAAGAAGATTCCCTAGCCAGAGGAATATTTCATTCTTATCTTTTCTCTAATAATTAAAGACCATAAACAGTAGAATGTTATACAGAAAAGAGATACTCACCTTGGGTTAAGAGCAAGGTGCAGCCTTGGAAATCATCTGAATTATTAAGAAGAAATACTCAGATTCTTCTAATTTTCTTTCATTCATGCATAAAGTCTTTCGTGCTTCATACTTCAAAATTTTGCCTAGTTACTTCACAAGTAGATGTCAATGTCTTAAAAGCTTAGGATGAAGGAGAGAGGGAATCTGTTTCTAAAAATCTTTTAGGACTCAATTTCATCAACTGATCATAATCAAAGTGAACTGCAATGGCCTCAAACTGTCCTAACTCATTTTAAGTTAAAGCCTGAATACTCAACTCATCCATGTGTGCAAGAGAACAGGAGCAGAACTGGTTCTAGCTGATAACTAGATTAAGTTGATATTCCTCTCCCAGTACCAATCCCTTAAACAGCACCAGTTTACCACAGACAAATACATCCTAACATGAAATAGTGATCTGGTCCCTTAAAAACAACAAATCTGTCGGAGCACTTTTTTCCTCTTTGCATTCCAACTAATTTTTTGAGACTGGCCAAGGCAAATCTGCCCCAACCTATGTAAATACATTTTTAGAAGAATTATTAACAGCAACTGTAAATTCACCACAATCCTCCATCCTCTATGCACTCTGCCCCAAAAGTGCTGAAAAACCAGGAGATTCAGTGCTGCTGAATAAGCGAGCACTGCTGTCAGTGTTATCCTGCAAGAAAGGACGTGGTTTTTCCGTGCAGTGTATATATAGTGCGTGCTTGAAGCAGTGGCTGCTCGTACGTATGATGCTTCAGCAGAAGTAAGTGTTGCTTTGCCAATGGACTCCGGCAACGAAGTTTTCTTTCATACACTAAACTTCCCTTTACCTACATCTCTAGGAGGAAACATTCCAGTGAGTCATAAAATAGAAAGTCTCACTGTAACTGGGACCGACATGTGAAGGCTCTTCTCTCTGAGGGAGGATGCCACTGCCTGAATTAAGTCTCCTGAAACAACTTAACAGGTCACATAATTTCAGGCAGACAGGTCTGTAGCGCAAATTAGCAAATACTGTGCTGGAATGGCTACAAGATCGCACTGCATGCCAACAACCTTTAGTTAACGTTTAACTGGAAGGTCATGGGACAGTGATGTAACATGTAATTATTTCAAACTACATGATTAAAAGCAGTATCCAGAGAATTTTGGGTAAGATATCTTGGTAAAGAATTGTCCCCTGCACTCACAGTCAAATGCCTGCATATTTTCCATCCAAATAAGGATGGAAGCTAGATAGGAGGAAAGCCAGAACTCCTCTGTTAGTCATGCTAGAGATCACTTAAAATTCACACTTGTCTGTATTGTTTTAAGTTGGCAGCATCCCCATGAAACACTTCCAGTTGTCTTTGAAACTTGTGTTTTTTGGGAAGGTCTAATGTCCAAAGAAGCATAGACAAGCACATCTCCCTTCTGCCCATCATTGTCACACTACAGTGCAATCATTTAAAATAACCATGACCATTTCCTGTGGAATATGGAAAATATTTTTGCTCAAGATTAAGGCTCTAAAAGCTTAAGAATTAATGGTGAAAGTTATGCTAACTGGGGAAAATGATCTCATTTCATATTAAAAATCTTGAATTAGTTCTTCAACTTTTTCCCCAGAACTCTCATTCTGGCAACAAAAACAAACCTCGTCTAAAACTGAAGCAGCTTTTTCCAATTTTACATTTTCATTTATTTCTTCCACAATTTTTATGATGAACGAAAAAATATATATTTGAATCAGAATAAAACTGTTAAGGAATAAAAAAAATAAAAATATCACAGGACGAACCACATGGCATATGACAGGTTTGGGGCTCTCAGCTATTTTTTTTTAAATCAAGTTAATCTGGCTATTAATACTGGTTTTTAAGGAATCCATCCAACACCTAACATAGGAAAGCTGTGTTCGCAGACTTTTCAGAGAAAACAGTGTTCACAAAAGTACTTGTGCTGAAGAACTGCACTGGAAAAGGTTACTGTGAATCACTGAGAAAGACACGCTGCCTCAAAGAATTACATACAAAATAAAAATTTACCATGTCTCCAAGTCACATACCAATGTTGTGTATATTTAACCTAAAACCAGTCACCTGCACTTTTTAGATTTGATGGCAGTAAGGAAGATACAGATATAGAGAAAGGATAGGTCTAGGAACAGAATTTTATTTGATTCTGGAAAGTATCATGCAACAAATCTCATTTTTTTAATGATCTTGCCCAGCTTTCAGATGACAAATTAAAATTTACAAGTAAAAGTATGCATAAGGTTAGCACCATAGGAAGAATAGTCTTCTCTTTACAACTCCATTTGATAGCAGGTTATAAAAGAAAACAGAGGAAAAGAAAAAAAAAAAATCCAACTAGCTGACCTTGCATTTTTATTTTCAACATCCTAGATACTTAAATCTAAACATCAAGATACTGTGACTCATCTAGCATATCTAAATAATTCATGTTCAGCAAAACTTGCTCTGTACATTAAGAAATATGTGTCAAATGGTAACTATCACAAAGTACTAGCTAGAATGCAAGGTAAAAATTGTAAAGGTACAGAAAAAGAAATGAAACAACAGAAATCAAAGTGATGAATTTTGCCCCATTTCCAGTCTTATGCTAGTGTAGCGATCATGACTTGCTGCAAAAAATCAAAAAAATAAGAGAGATGTGTACTGGGTCTGCCTGGGATAGGTCAAATATCCTAATATTATCCTATAATACCGTAATTTCATGGGCCAAATATCCAGGCGCACTTAATCTTGTCTTTCCCTTTTCCTACCTGCAAGCTACTACAGGATTACATTAGACTTCAAATGTTTATTTTCCTGCTTTTGTATTCATTTTAAAAATTTACCCCTTGTGGTTTTTATTGTAAGGTTTTCAAGATACTGAACAGTTTCATAAACCCTCCAATCTTTACCAAGCAGCAACTCTAATACAGGATTTAGGAGTTTTAAATACCATGTTATTACGTGCTGTCTTCTTAAGGCAACGGGAATAATTACTTTGAAGTATCCTAATTTTGCATTATAAATTGATACTGCGATTTCCTTTGTAAGCATCTCTAAGTACAATACATGTAAAATTATTTAAATTTTACTAAAATATTAACCTGACCCAATTATTAAAAGAAGGGTTCAAACTAAGATCAATAAGGAAGAGGCAACTTTTGGTCATCACTTGGAAAACATGTCTTTTGATTACTCCCACCTTTCAAGGTCACGTACATGGACTTTTAACAGCAACACTAAGCAACCAGGTTAAACAATTTTTTCTTTTTTTGTATCCAGATCATAGCAAAATCATTTACTTTAATCCCAAAGCAAAACATGGTATAACCCAAAACAGTGGGGTTTTTTTTTCAGACTGATAACCATTAGCACTAGAATATCTCTTGCAGTAAATACCATTTTAACAGAGAGCCAACGTCAACACTGAACTACCCAGAGGAGCCTTCACAACCATGAGCACTACATAACTTTACCACCAGGAGAGTAATGAGACTCTGAACTTTTCTTTATCTTTCCTTTATTTATGCTTGGACTTCCAGCACTGCACATCAGATACCCAGGGTCTTAATCTGTCCTATATCAGATAGACTGCAAAAATTCAATGCTTTTTCAACTGTCCTTGCATCAACAAATCAAACAGTCACATCCAACAAACCCTTCACTTGAGTAGTTACTTCTATCCAAAAATGCATCTCTTCTCTTCAGGATTTCAACTAATGCTTCTGGCTTATAAAAGATTAAGTGCAATCAGCTACACTGAAAGTTTATAATGCAGCTCTTGATTGTATTTTCTGTGCACGCATTTACATCAGGCACACAAGTTATATAAAATAGTTTGGAGTACAAAAATAGGGTTATAACATAGGAGTACCAAAACAGCACAGAATTAGAACAGTTTTATTACTGTAATACCAATTTATATACAGACCCCCAAATTAAGGATTTTTTAATTCTAAGTATTCTTCCCAAATTGACAACTGTAGTGTACACTCTAAAAAACTGCAAATTAACAACACAAATCTATTTTAAACCCTACATTGTCTATGCAGTCTGCACCAATCCTCTCTTGCACACAAAAATGCATTATAAATAATTTTTCACAAAATGTCATGTATGTTTTATTGCACATTGTACATGCCAATATCTAAAAGAAAGGCTCAAACCCTTCACTTGATAACTGTTTAAATACCTAGCAGTTACTTGTGTTATGAATACTATTGCATTTTTCAGGCTCTAATCTTAACTGATAATTTAAAAGATAAAAAAGCAGAAGAGAAAATATGCCTTGAACTGTATAGCTTCTGTGAAAGAAACAAGCTTCTTTAATTTTACTGATTTCTACTGTAGAAAGTAATTAAAAACATCTGACCTAATTAAAAATTCTGTTTCAAAATTTCTGTATTTTTTACTACAAAATTATGCGTATAGCCGCTTGTATAGTCTTATATTCCTTCTGTTTTGCAGAATTAGATGTTCCTGTGCTGTATTGACTAAAAGATCAAGTTACATAGCTCCTAGTGTTACCTACAGGAGTTAGTGTGACCATCTCCATTCTGCAGGTCTCCCCAGTGGTGGCAAGCAAGGAGCCCATCAGAACACCAGAACACGTCAGTATAAAAAGACACTGGGCACAAGTGGCCATCAGGCATCAAGGCCATGAGTTCCTGTCAAGCAGATCTCTAGACTAAGGAATATGAGTAATTTATCATTCATGTGTGGGTTTACGGTATGCTGTACTAAAATATGACTGCTAAACAAAGAGAATGATTCATGTATGACAGATACATGCCAGCTGGTAAAAATGCTTCACTGGGTAAAGTCTGCATTTTGAGGGTTAAAATTCTGGCACGAACAAAAAGATTAAAAAGTCGATTGATCAAATGTTTTGCCAAGGGCTTCTTAAGCTATTAGCCATCAACAGCTCCAGAAAGGGATAAAACCAGCAAAACCAAACAACTAAAATTGCACTATTACAAAGAAACAAGTCCATGAAAGGGAGAGTCACCAGCTGCAGTTAAGGGACAGCCACTTCAAGAAGCCGATTGTTTTTTCGCTTGCAAGTTGGGATGTTGCCATTTTTCTGGCTGCCTTGTATGAACTTCACGCACACTTTGTCTTGTCTGAACTGGACCAGAAACCTAGGAGGGGGAATAAGATAAATTTTAGTTTAAGGTGGGAAAAAAAACACATGACGAGCAGAAGTCTCTTCTGATTAGTTCCGAGGCCTGTATTAATAATAAGAGTTGAAGAATAAAAAAAACCTATGGGTTATGGTATGGCTTGGGTCGCCTTCAAGTGGTAATTCTTAATCACTGCCTTTTGCCTGTAACTCTGGACTTTTTACAATAGTTAGTTTGCTATTCCTTTAGAAAGCAGAATTTCTAATGTACCAGAACTGCAGCAAAGACTATTTCCAACTGCTTCGCCATTGTCCAAAGGGACTTTTCTGTTTTCATGGAAGGAAGCTAAATACTCCTATAGCAACATCAGGAGCGCTGCTCTTCTGGTTTACGCTTAATTTAGTATATCTGGTATTTTAGCAGCTCTCTTATTTCTAATCCTTACTTAGCTTTTACAGCCCCCTGCTCAGCAACTGGGAAAATTCACTTCCTTCTCAGCCACCTCCAAATTTAGATATTTCCTACAGTCCAGGATAAACTAATCTGGATTTGACTCTTCACTTTTTACCGGAAGAGAAATTTCATTGAATGTGGAGAATTGCTTTAAAAACCCAACAGGCTCCTGTGGAGCCTCAAACTTCTCACTGATCAGGATAGCAAGATTAAAAGCAATAAACAGGGCAGCACTGCCTTTTGGCTTACATGCAGCTGTTGCTGACCTAAAAAGTCCTTTGTAATACAGCAGATTTTCCCTTTTAGCATCCTTAAAAAGTCCTCCAGCAGAGGCCAAAAACTTCAAAGAATTTGTCCTCCAGCCGGAAACCACAAATCAAGCTGACGGCAGAGCTCAGGGGAGGAAGTGGCCTCCGTTGCGCCGAGCTGCCCTTTGGTCCTGCTTTCCTGCTGCACAGCCCAGACGCTCAAAGATTAACTTGTTCGGTGCTCCCAGCCATGGAAGCATCTGGAAAACGTGAGCAGGTCTTGATGACTTGCCACTAACACTGCATTTTCCTAGACCCATTATTCCAACATTATATATATATATATATATATGTATGTATATGGCATGTCTGTAACTAGACATACCCCTGCAGCAACAGCATTTTTGCTTATATAAGCTCTCTTCCCAAAAAGTAGTGTAACATAGTCAAAGTAAGGCCACATTTTCTCCTCAATTCCTAGTTGTGCTTGTGTCTAAACTCTAGCAGGGAGAAGAGAGCGCTGCTTTACCATCAACAGAGATGGAACTGCTTGAAAAGAAGCAAACAACTGAAAATCATTTAGTCTGGATAAACTCAATAGCAGTACACACTAGAATGTTTTTAATCTGCAAGACAAGGAATAAAATCACATCCCAAAATGCAAGACTCCCAGAAAGCAGACTGTTTTCCAGACCTAAGGCAGGCTGTCCAGACTAGTGCAATGCATGCTTAAACTTTGCTTTAGTAGTTTATTCCCTTGTAGCCATCATTAAACTAGAAACCTACTGGGGACAGCCACAATCTTTTAGAGGCTAAAACATACACCCTTGAGCAAATTAAATCACATATGGTAACAGAACAAAGGAAAATGGCAGAAGGGATTTTCAATGAAAGAGCAAAAGTAGCCTTTAAATAAACCCTCAAATCTTAACAGATAAAAACAGTACTTGCCATCATGACTCTAGAATACAAGCAGTGCTGTGCAGCCAGATAAAAGGTTCAATTTTTGCCTACAGAAATTTTATTTCGCTATTGTTGAAGGTTTCCAATTTTTCTTCTTTATCCAAAATGAATAAACCCACCAAATCAACAATACTGAAATCAGGGGGCACGTCACACAACAAACTGAGTGCATAACAATGGTGGGCTATGTGAGGGACTCTTACTCAGCAGGCCTCAGGAGTTCACACACACACAAACATTTTTATTCCATGGCTATAAACACTGCAAGTGCAGTCCTTACTTAAGGCCAAAATATGAAACTGCACCAAGCAGAAAGAAATATTACTTTGAGATGTAAGCTTTTTAACAACTCAAAAACCCGAAACAACAATAGGTGGTTCAAACACCATCAG